CTAGCCTGGGCAGGAGGACGACGGAGTGCTCACCGCCCCCTTTCAGCGTACTCCAAACTCTACAAGGTTTAAGATGTTCTTGGCTCTGCCATTTGCACCCTAAGAATATTTTGCCATTGAGCATTTACACAGACCATTAAACTATCAGTGACAAGTTTTTGCCAAAAGCATTGTCCTTAGTGAGTTCCATTAAGCCAATTTAATGCCTTGATTTTATTTCATAGTTCACCAATTCCTATTTTTCCCCTTTCAATTTTGTTTAGCCAAAATCAGTTTTCCCAGACCAAGTCTTTCTCTCGTGTGAATTTTACAATAAAGATTTGATTCCTTAGCCAGATTCTTATCCTAGCAGCATCGACCAAGTATGGTTTCTGCCCACTGTTTCGTATGTAATGATTACTTCTACCAAGTAGAAGTAATTTTCCTAGTGACCTGTTCAAAACAGTGGCATCAAAATGGCAAGTTTAAGACATTCCCCTGTAGATTCTTTGAGCACAGAGAGCACTTTTTGAGACTTTCAGGAGGGGTTCAGTGTGATGGTTCTTGCAGGCGAATGGGGCAGGCAGACACAAGAGTGTAAGAGGAAGCACTTTGAGGATCTGGCTTCATGGGGTCAGAGAGACCGATCTTCCTATGAACTGACCAGTCTGGGAAATCCACACAGCTTTTTGGGTGGCAAGCAAAGCCACTAACTCTGTCAAGAGAGCAGGGTGCCAGCACAAGACTTGTCCTTGCATATTGGACACCCACTGGTAGGAAGGTTCTTCACCCTCCCCCGCAGGGGCCTGGCCTCTCTCCAAACCAGGTTTGTATGTGGCTCTCTGCCAGCCCAGAGCTGTCTAGACACAGCTGGGCTGCTGAATGCAGCTCCAGTGAGAACACACGTCTATATTTGGGGAACACAAACCAACTGGGAAGGGATGTTTCCTTAGGGGTTGTGATAGCCTGAGATGAAGCTGGAAACTGGCCAGACCCAGCCCTTCTTGCCTCCCTGGGCTTCACCAACACATGAGGCCTTTCATTCTGACTGACAGCATGGCTGTCAGAGGCCAGGCCTCACATCAGGCTTCTTGAAGGACTTCCAGGACAGAGAGTTTGGTCTATTGCTCAGCCTCAGGCAGTCTGGGTGGACACAATTGATGGGCATTTGCTTCCGGTGGAGAGGAGAGGCACAATGCTCCTGGAGAAGCCAGGCCGTAAGCTTTACTTTGGGCTCCTGGCTCAGACTGAGCAGGGACCAGAAGACTGCAGAGATAGGATTCAGGGTCCAGAGAGAACCCCACTACGCCCTGGTTCTCTGTATGAAGCAGGAGGCTGTGCAAAGATGACCAAGGCTTAATACAGTGACAGACTTCAACAGCCTCACCTCTAAAGGGAGGCAGTTTACACGGGATTCCACTGGAAAGGCTGTAGGAAGGTTACGTCGAGAGGACACACACCAATTGCCTAACACTAGCACCGGCCCTAGCATAGAGCAGGAGCTCGGGGAAACAGACGTTCCTTTACTTCTGCCCTAGCTCTCTCCTCCCAGTTTCGCCCAGGAGCCTCTGATAGCTACAAATCCCATAGACAGAGAGCACTGTTCAGAGCATCTTGGGCCAAGGAGCTGACCACGTTTCTAAGTGGAGCAAGCCTCGGTGCTGCCTGAGGGGCAGGATCCCCCAGGATCTGGTATGGTCTTTCCTCAATCACAGCCAGACACCCTTCCTTGTGGCCTGAACCTTGACAAAGCCAGAGGACATAGTTCCAGGCTAGAGCACCCCCGAGCTGTGGAGGTCAGAAGTGGTCTTGAGATCAGTCTCTCGGTTCAGATGAGCACCCGCTCCTATCGTTAGTGATTGCTAGAATCTCTGGATTTCTGAGGCAACAGGTATGGGCCAGAGGCCCAGACCCAGGCGCCCACATCCCTGTCCCTTGTCTTCTATCTTGCCCTCACTTCTGTGTCCCCAAACCTAGGCCCACTACACACCTGAGAGGGACCCTTGCAGTCCTGGGAGAGTGACAGGTCTGTCCATGCCATTCACCTGGCAGACACAGGGGCTGATCAACTGTAATGCAGTCTCCCAAAAGCTGTGATCGTAACATCTGGTCTCACCCCTCCAACTCTGCCCTCAGCATTGCTTCTCCTCTGCTCCTTGATCGGGCTTAAGCCTCACCCTCTGCTCCTCTGAAAGGAGCATGAAGGAACTTTCTAGAACATGAAAATGTTCTACAGATTTTGGGGGGCGGTGGTTAAGGGTGTAAATTGTCAAAACCATCCAACTGAACACTTAAGATCTGTGCACTGTATTTTATGTAAACTATATGGCTGTAAGAATAAATCCCGTGTAGATCCAGGTGTTTCTGTGTTCAGAGATATGAATATGCGTGTTTGTGTGTATGTGTGGATAGGAGCCTATGTGTGCAGCCCCATCTGCACATGGATGACCTTGGTGTGGGGTCTGGGCTGTGGAAACCATGTGGACTTGGACACACAGCAAGTACACACTGCAGAATTCAGCTCAGCCTCCACAGGTACCACAAATCCCCGTGTCACTGTTCATTTGCCCAGGATTTTCCCCAACTGCTATAACCATTATCCAAACCTCCGCAACCCTCCTTGGCTCCCCATGGAGCAACTTCTCTCATTTCCCAGTTCTTGCCTGGGAAGGTTAAGGCCACTGAGTGTGAACACCCCTCCTCAGCCAGCTGCCCCTGGGGGGTAGGAGTGATGGGGCTTCATGCTTTCTCCTGGAATCCTCTGACCTTATCCTCTCCCACCTAAACCTTCTCTCCTTTCTGCAATCTCCAAGCTGTCTCCCTCCATTAGCATCCTTCTGAATTCCAACATTCACAAGCCTTAGCTTTCTTGAAACAACTCAAGAAACCGGGAAACCCTTAGAATAGCTTGGCCTGTGCCCTCTGACGCTAATTAGGGCGGAGAGGCTGGTGCTGGGCCCCAGCCTGGGAAAGTCTGAGGCTGGCTAGCTGGCAAGAGAGGTGGTCAACTAGAAGCCATGGTAAAGGGACTTTGCCCAAGACTTGCCACCTGAAAGGACCATGGGCCAATGCAGGTAGTATGGAATTCTAGAACCCAGGGGCTGAAGGAACTACGGAAAGCAGCAAGACTGAGGCATCACCACCTAGGTCAAAGGAAACACACCACAGAAGTACCACATGGAGGACAGTCAGCTACAAACTCCTGTCCGGCTCAGAGAATGCTAATGCCAATGACAGGGGAACTTTCCCGCCCCCATCTCTACTCCTACAACCCCCATGGGTCTGAAGCCACAATCTAACAGGGGAGGGGCGTTGTGAGGAAGCAAGATGGGGAAATGGAGAAGCCAAGCACCCTTCCCTCCAACGGTGGGAGCCTAAAGCAAGCTTGAGAGGGGAAGAGAAGCTCTGCCACTGAATCAAGTTGAGATTTGACAACTAATGTGAACTGGACACGAAGGCAATGGCAGCGAGTCTGTTCTGGTGCCTCGGTGTAACCCAAAGAGCAAGCAAAGAAAGCAAGCAAGAAAGTGTGGGATGACAAAACTGTTTTAGGATTGCAAGGGGCTTCCTGAGACCCCACGTTTGATATTACAGTCACACATGCAAACAGAGCACAGAATCAGTGCTTAATACAGTAGCTGTTAATACCGTTATGAACCATCTTGGGATTGAAAGGGAAGCAGCTGGGAACTGAATGTGAGGCGGGCTTTCCTAACAGTCAAGTTGTTTGGGTGGCCTGAGTAGAGCACTTGGCAGGGAGGGGGAGGGACTCAAGCCCCCAGTGTTGGGAGTGAGCCTGAGAATCTGTGATTCTATTTCTCACGGCCTCCCCTCTCCCCTCTACAGGGATACCTTCAGCCCTAGCCTCTCTTGGGCGTTCAATCCCACATTTCATGTTGGAGAAACTCCCCATTTGCCCACTGGTACTTCTATGTGGCCTACTCACCGTCACTTCCAATTCAACCCATCTAAATGGAGTTCTTTATCTTTTGCCTCCAGCCAGCTCTCCTTCCCCACAACCCCAAGTCCCCTGTTTCTGCACATACATACTTCTCTCAGCCTGATGTTCCGCATCCCTTATATTCATTTCTTAAACCCAGATAGGCACAGACTAATCAATCCTTTTCTTGAGACTGCTTCCTCATTGGCCCCATTCCCTCCATTTCTATGGCTACCGTCATAACTCAGATCTTTATCATCTCCTAAGATAGCCTCCTGAACAATCTCCCTGCCCTCCACATCTTTCCATGAGAAACCCTGGCACGCCAAAGTCAGTCCAATCTTCCCTATAGTGTCAGTGGCATCATAAATGCCTTTGATAAACTCTTGCTGCCCAAGGAATAAAATATAAACTTCTCAGCGAACATTCGGAGGTCCTGCACAATCTGGTTTTTTGCAACCTGCTTTTCCCAGCCTTATCTAAAACTATTCAACTCTTCCAAAGCTCAGAGACCCACTCTCAACCTGGTGACATGGCTGAATAAAGACTCAGAGATAAGAGACCTATCTGACCACAAGGAACTCAGTTCTAGTGGTTAAGATACAAGGGGTAATGAACAAGAGAACAGTTAGTGGTAAGATAAAGGACACTGCTCATCTGCACGTCCCCAACTCCAAAAGAGAGGATCTGTTCAACACCCGTACACTTAGGCTTTTCTACCCCCAGGTTTTACTTTGGGCTCTTCTTGCTCGTCTAAAACTTGAACTCCCATGCCCAGGCAAGGATCTCTCCCTCCTCTGGAGTTGAATGGTCCCACTGAGTAACTCCTTCCTGAATGTCTCCGCCTACATATTTCATCCTGAGGTCCTTCTCAAATGGCCCCCACCCGAAACGTGGGTTAGATGCATCTCCTCTGTTCCCACACTCATAACTTTCCTAGTGTTGCCCCTATCATGCTGCCTGCAATACACTTGTCTCCAATAGACTCAGCTCCTTAAAAGTCAGAAAATGGGCAGATCTTGATACACCAACAACCTGCTGCACATCTATCTGCCCCACTTGACTGAACTTTTTGAGGAATTCTATACACCCAGAAAATAGTTGGGGGTGGGGGGAAGAATGAAGCCTCTAATTCAACTCACAAATTTAAATGATAAATTTAAATTCCTTGGGAACAAGAACCGTATCTTTACTTTGGACAAACTCAACAAATCCACTTAACTGGGCTCAGCCAGTTTCTTCGTACCTACAGCAGCAACAATGTAGCCATGTTCATAGCATGGCTGCGTAGACCTGAGGATTAGGGATCGGGCGACCATGCAAGTTACCCCCCGGATACCAGTTTCCTCGTCTGTAACACCGGGCTGCTTTCCCGTAAACTCGTACAACAGGGCCTCGCCCACTGTGCTGCGTCTGCCATTCTCAATGGCGGTGTCTGTGAAGGTCCCGAGCACCTTGAGGGACGAGGGCACTGGCCGGTGGGCAGTGTGTCTGTTGGGGGGGGGGGCGCTGTGCACTGAAGTGACTGATTAGAGAGAACCCCATCCTCCCACCCCACCCACCCCAGGACTCAACCTTCTCTCCCCACTTCCCTTTCCAGAGCTTTCCGGAGCTCGGAGGCCCTCCTGCCTCCAGGAGTAGGTGGCTTTGGCTGAGGTCTAGGGCCCGGACCGCACCCACTCCGCCGGGCCTGCAGCGCGACCTTGACCTGTCTCCTTGTCAGAGCGTCAGTCTGGGGCCCCAGCTGGAAATGGCTCCTCTAAGGCTCTTCCAGCCTAAATCCCGTCCTCTTCCACCTCTGTGGTGCGGACTCTCCCTCCCACTCGCGACCGCGTCTCCCACACCGGCCGCACGGAACACAAGACGCGCTACGGCCAACCCCCGGACCGTGCTCCCTGCGCGCAGGAAGCACCCCTCGGCCTTCCTCCTCCACAGCCCAGACCGACGTGCTACCGCGAGACCTGGGAGGTGGGCGGGGCCGGAAGCCAGGCCACTCTCGCGAGGCCGGGCAGAGCGGAGCTGGGAGGCCCCGTACGGTGTGGAGGTCGTTGGTGTCACTTGCCAGCCGTCTGCGCCTTCTCCTGCCGTTCCGCTCCCCGCCAGCTTCAACTATGTTCTCCGCCCTCGCCCGCCCTGCCGGCGCCGTTCTCCGCCGCAGCTTCAGCACCTCGGCCCAGGTAGGCCCGATGAGGGGCTTCCTGCAGGTGGAGGGTCCCCGGCCGGGGCCACGTGGGTTCTGAGCTCGCGAGCAGCCCTGATCCCCGGGCTAGCCTACACCGCAGGGTCGTCCGGTACCGACCCGCGCCTGTGGCGCCCTGGGCCGGCCAGGACACTGGAAGGGACGTGCCGAAAGAAAGCCGGGTCCGGCTCTTCCCCCCGGACCACCAGAGAGCCTCCACTTGGTCTGCACAACTTCAGGGTTGAGAAGGTTTGGCTGTAGGGCCGAAAATAACTTACGCTTGTAGGCAACTTTCTGTAGTACTTTAAGCGACTAACCTTGTTCTTGTAGCATCCGTACAAATAACGTGTATCAACTCCATAGTGCAGGCCGACTGAGATACCGAGGTAGGGAACTGGTCCAAGGTTACAGTCATTCGTCCAGAGAATTAAAAGTCCGCTCTCCTGCCCGCTGTGAGTGGGTTTTGGATCATCAGGCTTTCCCTCTAAGAACGCTAAGACGCTGCCTCCTCTTCAGGACCCTTTTGAAGGCTCCTGCTTGCTGTGGGCTGACTGGGCCTGCCCCCCAGGTGTGGTGACTGTGCAGGGCTTGGTTTGGTAGTGCTTAAGCCTAAGCTATTTTTAGTCCTCTTCAAGGATGGTGGTTCTCTAACTCCGGTGTGTGTTAGAATCACCTGGAAGCTAATGAAGAACAGGCCAGGGTGCATTGAGGGAGGGTAGGACCTGCACCTTTTCTCTGTTTACCAGGTGCCCCAGGTGATTCTAATATAACTAAAGTTTGAGAACCCAGGAGATACCCACATTGCCTCTCTATTGCACCCAAGAGGGAGTTGAGGAGTAAAGGAGATTCCAGATTTCTGCTTTAGCTTCTGTCCTTCAGATCAGCTTCTTGTGCATTCAGTTCATTTGAAAAATAAGTACACAAGAGCATTGAGTATCCATGCTCGCCAACATCTGTGCTGGGTGCTGCAGGAGATACCAAGATGAGCAAGGGGTGGTACTTGAGATAGGCCCCAAATGAGTAAACTTAGGACAGGTGGAGGTACTGAAGACTGATGCTGAGGAGTGGGAGAAGGGAACTGAACTCCGGTTAAGACTGTGAGATTTGCTAAGGGACGGTTGGGTGAGGGGTATCAGAATGAAGGACACAAAGACTTCGGGCTTTGAAATTGCTGAGGTGAGAAAGGCTGCCGGAACAGTGGATTTGGGTAGGGGGAGGATATCAGGAGCTCAGTTTGAGATGTTGAATTTAAAATGCGTATGCGACATACAAGTGGTGATACTGGAAGGCACTAGGGTAAGTGAGAATGATGAGCTTGAGTGAAGTAGGTACATTCGTCTAGAGGCTTTGGATCCTGTATCTTTTTTTTTTTTTAAGAGTGTGGGGGAGGGGGGGAGAGAGAGAATCTCAAGCAGACCCCATTCCCATCGCTGAGCCTGGGGCTCAATCCCACAACCCTGAGATCACCACCCAAGTGGAAATCAAGAGGCTTAACTGACTGAGCCACCCAGGTGCTCCTGGATCCTTAACAGCAAAAATGTATCAAGAGCACAGACTCAATATATTTATTTCTGCAGTTATATACTAATATATATGTTACAGCGCAAAAAATAGAACTTTAAAAACAAATCATAATAGACATATTATAAAGCAAACTTATAAATGAAGTGTTACCCATTTGTAAAAGTTGCTGAGCGTGTGTGCTGTTAACAACCACTCCGTGCAGAAAAGATGAGCAAGTTTGGAAATTGGTCTTCTGCAAAGAGATCATGAGTTAATCTCTGCAATACCACAGATTCTTTCTACATTGTGAAGATTCCACCACTGAAGGACTGTATTTTTATACATATTAACTAAATTGATGAAACTTTGTAATATACAAATAATGACATCACCTCAACACTGAAAGCAACAGAATGAGTGAGGAGGTCATCTTATGTGTCATAAGGGACTGATTCACTTAAAGACCCTAGTGAGGGCATCAGGTCAGTTCCTTTCTTTCCTTTTCCTTCCTTCCTTCTTTTTTACTTTTCTATTTTCAAGTAATTCTACACCCAGTGTGGGGCTCTGCAGTGGAACCACTGCCCTAGTCAGCCTTGGAAGCCAGTCTGAGTAATCTGGGCATGAGGGACTTCAAGGAGATTTTTGAGTAAGGAAGTGAAATGATCAAAAGTTAATTTTCCGAAGGATGGTTTTGAGGTGGAGCTGAGGGCCTAGGGTAGATAATAGAATGGGAAGGAAGGTGGGGGGAAGGTTGGCAAAATGTTTGAGATGCCAAATCCTCCGAGTTCTAACTGGGTGTCTCTAATAAGGGAAGAGGCAGGAAGTGGTTCTAAGGGTTTGAATTTGGGAGAACACGGGTACTATTTGGGAACAGGGTGGGAGAGGTAGAAAGCATCCATTTATTTAGACAGTTGGGCTTATGGGACCATTGGAATGCCTAACAGCTGGGAATGTGGGAGTTGGAATTGGAGGTCCCTAGGAGTAGAGACAAGATGTGAGAGTGATTGACTGAAGATCGAGAAGTGATGAGATTGCCAGCCCTCGATTCTGGGCTGATCTGGCTAGTTACATTTTCTGGGAAGTCAAGGGTCCGCCTTTACAGCACCAATTTAATAAAAAAAAATCACAACTGAAGTCAAGATTTTTAAGTTGTATGTGCTTTTAGAGTTTACCTTTCTTAAGCAGATGACACAGTGTGGGTTTTGTCTGTCTGGGCTTTGGTTTCGGGGTTTGCTAACCAAAGTCCATTATTCCTAGTGGCCCTTGCCATAGAATACGGTCTGCAGTGAGTATAGGGACCCAAAGCAGATGGCTCTGCCCGAGAGGACCACATGTGGTGCTTCAGGTTCTTGTCCCTGCTATTAGTTTGTTTCCTTCCTTGGCAGCTCCCTGCTGGCCCAGAATAGGCTCCCCTTCTCATTTGTAAGGTTAGAGTAGCAATAAGCTCACCGAGGAGCTTCGTTTAGGCCTTGAGGGAGCCCTAGTGGGGAAGGGTACCTTTTGTATAATGAGAGAGAGCTGTAGGGCATGGCTTAGAAGAGATGTTTTTTCCTAAGCCTTTCTTCCTTTTTTTTTTTTTTTTTTTAAGCCCAAATTGAAGAATCAAGTTGCCTGTGTTTGGCTTGTATCCTACTTCTTCATTTGCTATCTTTTGGGGCCCGGGTATATTACAACTTCTGTGCCTTAGTTCCTCATCTGTGAAGTGAGTCCGTTAATATTACTTAATGGAGTCTGAGAATCAGGTAAGGAAAGCTGTAGCTCAGTACCAGCCACAGGGCAGACCTGATGAATGGCCCACGGCTACCATCTTGCTGGCGTTCCCAGTAGATAAGGTTGCTGGATCGCGGGAGTTTCAGGTGAAGTTCTGTATAATAAATTCTGCCCCTCATGGGAAAGGTTACCAAGAGGCAGTCATTCGCTTAGTTGTTGGAAATGGCTGGGGTGGGGGTGGCCGTAAGTCCCATTTGGTCATCATCCTTCAGAGACTCCTCTTCCTCCTTAAATGCTGGTGTTTACAGGGCTCTGTCCCTAGTGCTCCTGTCACTGTGTTCCCTTTTGTGTTTTGTCCACATCTGGGGCTACCATTAATCTCAGTGCAGATGCATAGGGCCTCCAGACCAAGCCTTTAGCCTACTGGGCACGTGTGTGTCTGGATGTTTCAAGGGGCTCAAACTCAGCATGCAAAACAGAACTCATTATTCTTTCTCCCAAACCCCTTACCGCTCCTGAGTTCCCTCTCTTGCTTAAAGGCAATGTTGTCTACTTAAGCCAGCAAGTTGTCATCCCAGATTCCTCCCTCCACTCACCATCTAGATGGAAGGGGAGGAGAGGTGACTGAATCCCTTGTAGCCCGCCCATCCTTCTTGCTTGCCTGGATCCCACCCTTGAGTCATGCTTGGACTATTACAGTAGTCTCCTGCCTCCATTCTTGGATATTTCCAGGCCATCTTCCATTCTGCCTCATATCTTTTAAAAACACAGTTCTGGACATGTTTTCCCCAGCTTCTAAGACCTTTCACCGACTCCCCATTACCCAGAAGGGCCAGATAGACTCTGCTAGGCTCTCAGCTTTGTCCTTACCTTCTTCCTTCTTCCATATGCATCCAGCAATGCCCGAGCCATAGAGGACTGCTTCCCTTCACTAGGCCGTACTCCATAGCTCCAACCCCTAGCGTCCATCTGGTAAACTGCTGCTCCTCCTTCAAAACCCCCTCACGCTTAATTCTCTCCTAGTGTCTACCTCCGTGGCACTTGTCACACTAGATGCTGTTTATTCGGTTTGCACGCCTTTTGGTGTGCAGGTCTTGTCATTGGTGCTAGCAGCTCAGCCTGGCGTGTGGCAGGTAGAAAGTCCATGCCTATTGAATTGGAGGTGAGCCTTAAAGATGAATAAGCAGCCCCTTTGGAAGACAGTCGGGCACTTTGTCAAAGATTAAATGTGGAGTTGCCACGTGACTCCTCAATCCCACTCCTTGGTATAAGAAAAAGAAGGGGATTAAGTGATGCCGGTCTAGATTTCGACAGCTCTGAAGTAGAGCTTTGACTTCTAGCTCCAGCCTTCTAGATGTTAGCAAGGCAGTCGAGTCTCTCAACTGTATCACTTTTTAACTCTTCCCTGCAGCTGACATGCCCAGAGCCACCTGCTGCGCGTTCTGCCTGGCTTGGTGTGCAGTAGTGATTCTCAGACTTCGGCCAGTACCAGAGTCACCCGGAAATGGTTGGCTATACAGAGGCCTGAGCCCTGTCCTACTTTGAGGAGCCTGGTCCTCTGTGGGCTTTGTAAGCCCGGCAGGTAATCCTGATAGACCCCGAAGTGTGGGGCACAGGTGCCTGAGGCTGCAGATCTAACTTAACTGCTAGGGAGGGAGCCTTTCGAAACACACATCCCTCCTGATGCTGCGTGCCCCCCTCCCCCATCAGCTCCTTTCCCTTGTCCCCTCCAGAGCCAGCAGAGTTCTTCCCCATTCTGCTTCTCCACGTACAGTGAACGGCCTGTTGGTAGGTGCTCAGTATGTGTGTGTTTATAGTTAAAACTGCAGGTTGAGTGGCAGGTGCCCGAGTAGAGCTTGTTCATCGTTCGGGGGGTGTTTGCAGTAGGACCCCGACTGTCACAGCAGCTGTGGACATAGGTTCCCTGTTTCCTGGAGATAAGCCTCTACGCTTCAGAAGAAAACCGGACCTTTGGACTGGTAGAAATTCGACGTTGGTGTCTCATTTGGCACCACAGCAATAAAAGAGACCCAGCATGGTATTTTATAGGCTATCACGTGCCTACTTCTAATACCGATCTGTATTAAGAGTCCTTTCTCTGTGCCTTTTAGAACAATGCGAAAGTAGCCGTGCTAGGGGCTTCTGGAGGAATCGGGCAGCCTCTTGCGCTTCTCCTCAAGAACAGTCCCTTGGTGAGCCGCCTGACCCTCTACGATATTGCTCATACGCCCGGAGTGGCCGCCGATCTGAGCCACATCGAGACCAGAGCAACTGTGAAAGGTACTGGACACGCTGAGCCTGGAGACTTTGCTTCCCTTCTCCCCAGTAGAGCAGGGTCCAAGCGATAGAACACAGTTCTTCAGTGAAAGTAGATCAGAAACGCGGGGTTTCCACGTGCATCGTAGAACTGAATTCACAGTGACTACATCTTTTTGGACTTGAGCTTGTAAAAAATTTAAATAGCAGCATCTTTCAGAAAAACAAAGGTGATCTCATCTTCCCATTTTTAATTTTTTTCTCATTTTGAAAAGTAATAGGATGGGGACTTTCGGGGACTTCTGGAGATTGGGGTGCAGTAGGAATGCTGTACCCCCCGGGGCTGCAGGTTGCCTTCCCGTGCCCTGGGCCAGCCCTCCTGCCACCCTAGGCTCCTCTGCCAGGTTCCCAGAAGCACAGCCTCCTTAGGGAGATCTGCTCTTCCTGCCAGGCAAACAGGTGTATGCCATCCAAGAAGTAATTCGTCATCATACATACCATAAATCCTGGTTATTTTACCTTTACTTTATAGCAGTATTTACCCCCGTCCCCAAATTCTTGGTTAAGTCATTTTTAAAGCGGCGCTATAATTTACCGTTTGTTTAGTGTATTACCTATACTGTTGGCCACTGAGCAATTTCCTATTTTGCTCTACTCTAAATTCAAATATGTAAGCCGTGAGGAACATCCTCATCCTTACATCTTGTTTCTTAGAAGCCAGAAGTCGAATCAGTAGGTATGACTGTAAAGTCCCAAATTGCCGTCCAGAAAGGTGGTAGTCATTTCTGTCTCTGCTGGCCATGCGTGGGAATGCCCTGCGTGATGGTGTTCACACGCGCCCTCAGCCGGTGGGCACAACTTGGGAGGTCAGCTGTCAGCTCGGACGTTTTTGTGCCTTCCGTAATCTCTGAATTTGTTGGCTCATTTTCTTTTGGAGCTTCTGAAAGCTGCAATAGGGGAAAAGTCCACATCAAAGCAGATTTTGGTCATCGGAGCAAATTTCCCTTGCAGCCTTTGAAAATGGACCTTTTTTTCTCCTCAGATGATAGGAATAAATAAGAGATACCAATACTTAGAGTCCTTCTTTATCAGCACCATGATTTTCTCACGTGGCTTTCAGTGTGTCTTCGGATCTGACCCCGAGATGGAGCATTTGTTAGGACGCCCGGGCGGTGGGGGGCAGGAATAAGCAGCTCTTGGAACTGGGAGCCAGGAAGGCCTTACAGGTGCTAGCGGGTCCGATAAGGACAAGCGGCTGAACTTGGGGCGGGGGGAGAGGTGGCTAGACAGTTGATCCATTCCACAGAGGGGTGGGACCTAGGCAGTCGGAGGCTGGAGGAAAGTGGTGTGAAAGGCGGCTGGAACAGTCGGACCCAGCGGGGGCCGTCTTCCCCTGGCTTCGTCCCCACAACTGTGCTCGCCTCTCCAGATCAGAAAAGGTGAACTTGCTCTCTCCTGGGGCGGGGGTGTCTAGGCTACCTCGGCCCTGAGCAGCTGCCGGATTGCCTGAGAGGCTGCGATGTGGTGGTTATTCCAGCAGGAGTCCCGAGAAAACCAGGTGTGTTTGGAAGCCTTGCCTCGCATATCCCTGGCAGTGAGGTGGGGATGTGGTTTTCCATTACAGTGGATCAAGTCAGTGTCTCCGTGGCAGAGAAGAATTCCAGAGGCTCCCCAGTCCCTGTGGGATAGAGAGGCGTCCCTTTCTTGGTCCAGCCCGTGTCTGCCATGTCTGTGCCCTGCCCGGTCTTGTGCTCCTGTGCATGCTGTCTGCCCGGAGTGTCTTTCCTCCACCTTCTGCTCGGGAGCTCTTGCTGATCCCTGAGGATCCTCCTCAGATACCTCCCTCCCTGAGGCCCCTCCCCGCCTTCCACCCCCTCCACTTGTCACACTAGGTTGTTTTTCCTACAAGATAGGTTGGCTTGGAACAGGCACCCTGTGTCTCTAATGTTTGGTTTCCCTGGAACAACTGACACACAGCACTGGGCGGTTCATTTGGTGCTTTGTGACCATCTTGAATTTCTCAGGCATGACCCGGGATGACCTGTTCAACACCAATGCCTCCATTGTGGCCACCCTGTCTGCTGCCTGCGCCCAGCACTGCCCTGAGGCCATGATCTGCGTCATTTCCAATCCGGTGAGTGCCGCTGGCCGGTGGGCCGCTAATGCCGTGCCAGGAGCCCACATTGAGCAGAAGGAGGTGGAGGTGCTTACAGGGCCCAAGATCCAACTAAGGGGCATCAGCAGGCACGTGGGATGAACTAAGTGTGAATTCCAGCCTGGTTTTCCCACCACTCATGTGCCTTTGGGCAAATCACTCAAGTCACTTCTCCTCTCTGTGTCCATTTCTCCACCTACAAAGTCCATTCTTGAGGCTCCGTTCAGCCCTGATTGTGGTGGCCCATTAACCGCTTTTACCCTGTTCTGCTCGGGGTTTGCGATTCCTGGTTCCCCATCAGGCTTGCTCAGCCACCCCGGGCCCTGCTCGTGGGTTTTTGTGAGGAGCTTCTCCTTTGATTCCCAAAAGCACACATGCAGTACCCACACATGGGCCCCCCCCCCCCCACCTCCCAAGCAGTCCCTTGGGTTGCATCGGCCGGCAGCGCACTCTGTGCCTCCTTCCCAGGTGAAGCCGGCCTCTGAGGCTCAGGTCCTGGGTGGAAATGCAGTGACAGTGATGTTGACTGGGGGCTGTGCCCACCGATCCATGCCCAGAGCTTGTCCCCAGGGCCTCTGAGGAGCCGATCCCCAACTAGCTCACCCTTCTCAGGGCAACCGGTCTGCAGTAGGGAGCAGTCACCGCTTTTGCTAACCTAGCACCTAACGTAAATCCTGCGATTGGGTTGCATCTTTATTATGCTCTCTCTGTGCACCAGGCCCTGTGTCAGCGCTTGCTGTCTCTTTAAGTCCTGTAACCTTCACGGCCTCGGGAGGTGGTCGTCTCTGCCGTGAGGAAACCAGTTGCCCAGGCTTACCTCGCAGAGTGGCCGAGGTGGGACTTGACCCGAGGCCGTCTGAGGTTTTAGCCCTGCGCAGTGCGCTGCTTTGTTCAGGTGTCGGCCCCAGTGGGAGCGGGAGGTGTCCTGTGGAGTCAGCCTCACTGTTAGGTTGACAGCTGGAAGGTCGCGTGCACATCCAAGCCATGGACCCTGGGGGCCCCTACGGGGAGGAGCGCCTGCCGCCATGAAGGGTTCTTTGTGGGGGATGGGGAGGGAGTAGGAAGTTGGCCCACCGTGACCTGTTCCACCACGAGGGCAGCTTGCCCGTAAAAAGAGTTTCCGGGGGAGTTTGGGCCCTTTAGGACTTGTTAGTGGTCTGGGGAAGAGATGTTTCCGTCTGTGGCATGTCTCATCTCTCAGGGTGAGGGCAAGTTACGCCTCTCTCTTGCATTTGCCAGGTGAACTCCACCATCCCAATCGCAACGGAAGTTTTCAAGAAACACGGAGTCTACAACCCCAATAAAATCTTTGGGGTGACGACCCTGGACATTGTCAGAGCCAACACTTTCATTGCGGAACTGAAGGTAAGGGACGCATCGGTGTTCTTCAGGCTCCCTTCCGGCCGTCCTTGGCTGATCGGTGAGCATAGGAGACCAGGGGGTCTCCAGTGCTCTTGGGGCCAGCCCTGGTGGGGCAGAGGAGCTCTCAGGTTTCCTTGGGGGATCCATACAGACCCCTGCAGGTTTAAACCGCAGCCAGTTGGAGTCTTGACTCTGCTCCCTCTCTGTCCTCCCTGGTGTGAGGGGCCAGGCTTTTCCCCGGACTTCACACTGCCTCAGCTGGGCTGTGCTCTCTAAGTTCCTTGCCTCTAAAAACTAGAACTAACAGGATTTACCTGCTAATGGTATCTGTCATTAAATGAATAAAATCGGCAAACATGAAGAATTTGGGAACATTCCTGAAGTCCTGAGATGTCAGGATCATTGATCCTGGCATGTAGTTCTGACTGCAGTCACCTGCAGCTTGCTGGGCTGCTGACCTGGCCACTGGGCCTGTCCTGGGGCGGGGCGGGGCGGGGGGCACCAGCGCCAGTGCTGGCATCCTCAGCAGAACCACTTCCTCCGGCCTGTGGAAGTGTCTTGAGGGGAAGCAAGGGGAGCACTTCATCAGCCCAGGAGAGGCTTTCTGGGACAGATGTAACTTCAGGCCAGTTTTTGCTGGCTTTGCAGATGAGGGGGCCTCTCTAAAGTAGGAACAGTTGTCCTGCACACATGAGGCTGTTGACCTTGATCATATGCCCCATGTGCCAGACAGGTCTGCTTCTGGAGTGTGGTGCCCTGCTTTCGTTCATGCTGTGGCACATCCTCAGCCCCTGTCCCAGGGGCGGGGGTCCCAGAGATCCAGAAGACAGGGCCAGGCCTTGGGATTCAAGAGCCAGTGGAATGTAAAAACCATTTGGGCGCGGATGTGGAGGGTGGCTGTCTGAGTCGGGACAGGCTTTCCGGAGGAGCTTGCATTCCCGCTGAGTCTGACCAAGGACAGCCCGGGAGGGTGGGGTTCGGGCCTCTTGAGGCTCACAGCCCAGCTTCCTGGGAGCCACAGTGCTCATTCTCTTTGGGCTTTTGGGGTGTTCCCAGCTCTTGGGGGCCAAAGCACGCCATCTCCCCCTGGTCCTGCTGCAACACACTAGCTACATGTGGTAGCTGCCCGTGGCTATGTAAATTACTTAGAATTACAGAAAATTAGAAATTCGTGTCCTCCATTGTACTGGCCACATTTCAGATGCTCAGTAGCCACATGTGGCTCCTGTGTTCTCGCAGAAAGTTCTACAGGATGGTGCTGTCATAGCCTGGGAAGTTCTACTGTTTGAGGTGGAGGAAGGGGGATCTTGGCCCCTGGCAGAGAACCTAGTGCTTGTCAAGCTTCAGTTAGGTGAATTGTCCTCTCCCTCAGGCTCTCTGGCATTCTGGAAAAATCCTGATTTGTATCAGGAATGAAAGTTGGCCCTTAAAGCTCCAGTGTCTGGAGCCTCCCTCAGCCTCTCGGCCATCTTCCGCCACTTTGCCACCTTCTCTTGGCTTTTCTGCTAATGTGATACATGTTCTTTATGGCCCCAGGCCTTTGGTCTTTCTGCTCCTTTTGCCTAGAATACACTTCCTTTGGCAAAGTCATGCTGCTGCTTCCCGGATGAAGTTAAATCTGTCCCAGAAAGCCTCTCCCGGGCTGATGAAGTGCTCCCCTTGCTTCCAGAGCCGCCCTGTGTGGCCATCTCAGCCCAGCACACGGGGACGTCACTAGTCTCTGTCTCGTAATCGACAGTGAGGGTCTCAAAAGCAGGGCCTCCTGCCTGTGTCCCTGGTGACTGGTACACTGCCTCGGCACGTAGGCGCCACTGTGTGAGCTTCCTGCTCTGCAAACTTGGTCCTGCGGGGTCTGCCCCCCTCAACGCTGGGTCTCCCTTCCCGGGCAAGGCGGATTCCTAACTTAGGGCTGCTGTCTTTAGCAGCTGTGGCGTTTAGGGAAGGTGGCATCGTTGGGGGACTGCTCACATCCCTCCCTTAACTCCCACCGGATTCTTTTTTTTTTTTTTTTTTTTTTGGACCATCTTAAGAAATACCTGGTCCGGGGTGCCTGGGTGGCTCAGTTGGTTAAGCGTCTGCCTTCGGCTCAAGTCATGATCTCAGGGTCCTGGGATCGAGCCCCAAGTCGGGCTCCTTGCTCCTCAGGGAGCCTGCTTCTCCCTCTCCCTCTCCCTCTGTCTGCCTCCCCCCTGCTGTGGTCTCTGTCTCTCTGTCTCTGTCTCTCTGTGTCAAATGAATAAATTAAAAAAATCTTAAAAACAGAAAAACACCTGGTCCGCAGATTGGCGGTGTTGTGCCTCCAGTTTAACAAATGAATCAGCCTCTCCTATTAAGCCCTGACAAAGAACCATGGTGTTTTGACCCCTTACAGCTCAGTTTTATTCTGTCCTGATCACTGTGAGTTGACAGACTTCTCACCCCCTGGTTTTCTGGAATTGTTTTGAATTTTGCTCTACAATGAGGGGGAGGGAATTGGACTCATTCTCTGTGACCAAGTATGGGGACGTGAATCTGGGCTGGTGCATGGGGAATGACCTTAGCTCTGGGGAAGAGGACTCTTCTCTGATTCTCAGAAGATAACCAGACTGATAGGGACCAATGGGGGGATCCTACAAGGAGGCAGTTTTCTGCTCCCTGTAAAGGAAGACCCTCAAAGTGACCTCACCAAGTGACACGTACTCCTTGCTGCGCCACTCCAACTGATGTTCCATGCGGGTGGTGGGGCCATGGCAGGAGATCTGAACACAGCTGGACTCAGGCTTCTGTGGTTTCTTTGTTCTGACTTCTGTGGATTTTTTCCAGTATTGGTGCTTTGCGTGGATATGACATAGTTTATACTTAAAGAGCTTTAAAAATTAACGAAGCTTCATACTTTGGTGGCCAGGGTTTGGATCCTGCTCGGGTCAATGTTCCTGTCATTGGCGGCCATGCTGGGAAGACCATCATCCCCCTGATCTCCCAGGTAAGTGTGTCACCTTGCCAGGAAGCCGTGAGACCGGGAGCACCTTTAAGAGGTTCCACCTCGAGGTCCTGAAGACAGACTGACGAAGAACTAAGCATCTGTCGTATTTTGAGAGAATTCCTGCTGTGGGTATAGCCCCAGCCGTTATCGGGGGTGGGGGCGGTTCTTGAGTGGCCTGCAGGGCTGTGGTCAGGCTCCAGCACTTCGGGGGTCCACACCTGTGGGAGTGAGTGTGGTCAGAAGATGCTCACAGTGGCCAGCTCCCAGCACACAACGAAAACTGCTGCAGGAAACCACTGAATTCCTGGTTGGGTCAGAGCAGGTAAAGCTGCTTTGTGTAAAAATGAGTAGAAGGGCGCCCGGCTGGCTCCGTTGCTAGAGCTTACGACTCTTCATCTCAGCTCCGAGTTTGAGCCCCATGCTGCGTGTAGAGATTACTTAAAAATAAAATGTTTAAAAAAATAAATTAAAAAAAAATGAGTAGAGACAAGGTGAACACCACTGAGAATAAGATATATTAAGTCAGTGTCCTAACCCCTGAGTGTAATGCACTGAGGACACAAAATATTTGTGCTGTTCTTGCCAAAAACGCATAACCCTATGAGAAAGGTATGAGGAAACCTACTATAAATCTAAAATGATGGACATTCTACAAAACGAGCGGTCAGTCCTCTTGACAAGTGTCCGGGAAGACAGGACTGCTAGGAAACAGACTGAGGTGGGGTCCTGGGTGAGAACTGGGACAGGAAAGGGACGGTAGTGTTGAAATGGGTGACATTTGAGTAAGGTGTGTAGTTCATGTATCGATGATAATTTCCTAGATCTTCCTAATTGCACTGTGGCTATGTAAATGCTAACATTGGGGTAAGCCGGGTGAGGGAAATCTTTGTGCTATTTTTACAACTTTTCTCTAAGTCTAAAATTAGTCCAAAATATTCAAAGTTCTTTAAAAATGAGTAGGGGCGGGGGGGTAGGTTGGTGCCCGGCTGGCTTTGTCAGTGGGCACTCGACTCAGTCTTAGGGTTGTGAGTTCAAGCCCCACATTGGATGTGGAGCTCACTTTAAAAAAAGGCCGGGGAGGGGGGTGGTAGGGGCCACACTACACCTCTCAACAAAGTTGACTTTTTCTTTAAAGAAGAATTGGTCTCGGTTTCCCGTCGTGGCAGTGTGGTGGGGGAGGGGTCTGCCACGAGCAGGGGAGGACTGTGGAGTCTGGGAGTGGTGGCAGCACCCGCTCACGTGGTCCCTGTGGCTTTGGCCCGCAGTGCACTCCCAAGGTGGACCTTCCCCAGGACCAGCTAACAGCCATCACTGGGCGGATCCAGGAGGCCGGCACAGAGGTGGTGAAGGCCAAAGCTGGAGCAGGTGGGTTCTTGGGGGCAGTCCCCAGTTGAAGACCGGAAGGGCCTGGGCAGGCAACGAATGCTCTTCTCGGCTTCCTGTACGTTCACTGGCTAAGCCAGCCTGGTGGCAGGGGGCAGCCCGGCTTTGTGGAGCTGAGTGGCGGTAGACGTCCGTGCCATTCATGAGTTTGTGAAATGAAGAGATGACGACCTAAATTCTTCACAGCTAAAGCTGAAGGTTTTGCAGCTGCTTTATTTAGCTGGGAGGGCAGGCTTGCCCGGATCTTCCAGTCGTGGTGCCAGCTCGGCTAACCCGCCTGTGTCCTCCCAGGCTCGGCCACCCTGTCCATGGCGTACGCCGGAGCCCGGTTTGTCTTCTCCCTTGTGGATGCGATGAACGGAAAGGAAGGAGTTGTGGAGTGTTCCTTCGTTAAGTCCCAAGAAGCAGAGTGTGCCTATTTCTCCACCCCGTTAATGCTGGGGGTATGTATCCCAGAGGTTGGGTCTTGTGACGGTGGAAGCAGGTGCATTCTCTGTACTTAAGATGGGGAGCCCTGGTGTATTTGCTCCATAATTCAGTTTTCCCCTGTGCAGTGACTGCGTCCCAGTGCCTGGGCTGTGCTGGGGGTTTTGAGGGTGGGCCCAAGTCCCAGAAGTAAGAGCAGGAAGAAACTTCAAATGGGGTGGGAACCCTCCTTCCCCGTGGATCAGCCAGCTGGTCAGCAGCTGACGTGGTGTGTTTCTTGATGAAACGCTTGCTCCACCTCAAGGCAGCCGTGGACAGTTCTGAAGGAGAGGCCTCCCTCCACCAGCCTGCATGCTGTACCCTTTGGCTCGTACTTGTTCCTTCTTGTCCTGACCTCAGGCCCACCGAGCCAGATTTCTCTTCCAGGGAGGTCCAGAGAGAGGTTGCTGAGCTGTGAGATGCTCCTGGTTTTCTTCCTGGAGCGTGCTGTAGGTTTCCACTTGAAGTGGTGGCGTCTAGGATGGAGGCCATCTGGTCACATGGCTTGGCTTCGGCCAGGCTCTTTTGGAGGCAGCTGTCCAGTCTGGTGACTCTTCCTGAGTGTTCGGGGAGTAGACACCGCTAGGTCTCACTCACACACCGTCCAGCCAGCTTTCCATTTCCAATGTGCCGGCAGCTGCTGACATCAGACAGAGGGGTGGCTGCCTTCATCTCCTGCCCCGAATGAAACAGTTTGGCGATGTGCCGGGCCACCCAGAGGCCCTTCCCACAGACGCCTGGTGTCCAAAGATCCCTGAGACATGGCCCCGGGCCTCGGGGACCCCGTGTGGTGGAGAGACAGGCACTAAGCAGACCCGTTCTGGGACCGGTGCGGCGCGGGTGTGTGCGGTTGGCCTGCAGGCCCTGAGATCAGGGAGGGCTCTACGGGGAGGCGGCCCAGAAGCCGTGTATGCAGCTGCAGACACACAGGCTGACAGACACCTGCTGTTTTCCTGATGTCTTCCGTCTCACTACTTGATTACATTGGACTTGGGTGGATATTAACCAACTTAGCAAAAGACGAGAACCCAAAAGTATGCTCCGTGTCGAGGAGAATGACATTCAGTGCTGCTAAGGATTGAGTGCTCCATGTGCCAAGCCGCCCACAGGTGTTCTCATGGCCTCCTTTGGGGTGGATAGTACGCCTGCCCAGTTTCTAGATAAAGAAACCGCCTTGGCCGAGGTGCACATGGAGGGAGTGTCAGGGTCTGGATCCCAGCCGGGGGGGCAGTCTACCTGAAGCCCAGGCTCCGGGCACAGCTCACGCCGTCCCAGGTGGCCGGGCTCCCTCGGCAAGCTGCCCCGGGCAGGTGGGCCGGGCAGGGTCATGAAGTTACACGTCAGGTTTTCCTTAACAGCCTTGTTCTTGGAAACCTGTTGTAAAACTTACAGTATTTTCAGTGATCCTTCTTAAAATTCTCCAATTTTACCCCCTTCTGTCTCCAGAAAAAGGGCATTGAGAAGAATCTAGGCATCGGCAAGATCTCCTCTTTCGAAGAGAAGATGATCGCGGAAGCCATCCCTGAGCTGAAGGCCTCCATCAAGAAGGGAGAGGAGTTTGTGAAGAACATGAAATGAGAGGGGCAGCCAGCGAGTCCGCTTCCCCAACTTACGAAGGCATCATGTCCCTGTAAAGGCATCTCCTTCCCCCTGTGTTTTGAGTTGCGTTAACCACAAGTGTTGTGTTAGCGTCGCCATCCCTTCCAAATCACCGGTCTGTCTGTGGGCGCATCAGTAAAAGCAGGCTTTGATTTTCTTTTTCAAGGTCTCGGCAAATGTGCTTTGTTCCCTGTTCGAGCTGGCTTCAGAGGGCCTGTCTGGCGTCTCCATCATGAATCAGAACAAGATGTTATTTAAATATCAGGCTGACGCATGATGGTTTCATCAGTAGCTTCGACAAAGTCTGAAAAATTTATCAGTAGCTGTCCCTCCCAACCCTGCTCCACACCATTCGTCCCTCGGCTCCGGCCTGATTCCTCAGTGTCCCGGAGTGACAGTGGCACATGCCCAGTCGCCGTTTTCGGTCCCTGGCTCCTCCCATATGGTGGTTTCTGGCTCAGCTGACAGCTCCGTCTCCTACATCGGAGCTGCCTCGGCCGACCTCTGTCCCGCTCCAAATCTCCTCCTCGACGGGGGCCACGCTAGGCCAGAGCTGTGAAGGCTGGAGCAGGGGCTGAAATGCAGCACCAGCTGCTGGGCAGCATGGGGGACGCAGGAGGGCTGGCTTCATGTCTCCAGCAGGACCTAAACAGGAACTTGGTTATATCCTCTGGGCTTGGGGGAAATGTGGGGAATTAGAGCGGGACCTGTTCCCGTTAGTGTCTGGCATGTTCCATTCCTTGGAAAGGGAAACTGAGAGCCCTGTGCCTGAGAAGGAAGTTGGTGGCCGCAGGTGATGACCTTCCAGTGACCAGGTGAAAGGGCAGGTGGGGGCAGAACTCTGCCCTGGGCAGGACACTCCTCAATCTATAGCAGCTTTTCCTTAAAACTAAAATGGGTGTTATCATTATGACATCATTGTTTTCTTATAAGAGTAATAGGCATCCACGGTTTAAAACCTAAAATGTGGGGTACCTGGGTGGCTCAGTCCGTTAAAGCGTCTGCCTTCGGCTCAGGTCATGATCTCAGAGTCCTGGGATCAAGCCCCACATCAGGCTCCTTGCTCAGTGGGGAGTCTGCTTCTCCCTCTCCCTCTGCTGCCCCCCCCCCACTTGTTCTGTCTATAAATAAATAAAATCTTAAAAAATAATAATTAAAAATAAAAAACCTAAAATGTAGCCAAAAAAAGGAAAATAATCATGGGTGATGGCATTTGTCCTCTTTCGTTTATTTTGAAAGTTGAGATAGGGCCTCATGTGCCATTTTGTAGCCTGCTCTTCTGGTGAAACACCACCCCGCCCCCTGGGTCTAGTTGCTTTAAAGCCATTTTCTGTGTCATCATCTGTTGTCTTTCCCCCGCAGCCTTTCTGCAGGCTGACAAGGCTCTGCCAGCTGCTTCTGCCCCAGCTGCAGGGCCCAGTCGGCCTGGCACATCCAAGACGGTAGCTCGTGTGTGGCTGGTGTGTAGGAGCTGCCAGGGAGGCCGCGGGGCTTGTCACTCTTCACGGGGCCCCTGCTGTAGAGCGGGCAGATCTCTTACTTGGCGGCTCAGGGTTCTCAAAAGTGCAAAAGCAAAAACTGCCCGGCAGTAGGACAGACTCAGAACTGGCCCCATCCTCGAGGTGAAAGCGAGTCCCCAGGCAGGCCCAGGCGTGTGGGGGGAGGGGACCGGACACGCAAGGGCGGGAGTCCTGGGAAGGCCTGGTTCTTCAGGGGCCACCTTTGGAGACAAGCTACCACTCTAAGCACGGATGTATTTTCCCTTATCGCTTGTCATAACAGGGTCACCCTTATGGGGGGCCCATGGTAACTACTCCACTGCCGTTGGATAATTTGGTTGCTGAGGGTTTCGCTACTGTAAAGAGCAGGGCTCTGGATACTGCCTTTGGACTAATTCCTCCCAGCAGTTCTGTGTGTGAAAAGCCACGCCAGCTCTCTCTGGGGTCATCAGCTCTGTCATGGGCCTAGTACAGGTGACTCAGAGCATGTTCAGGAAGGTTCAAGAAGGTCAGTGCACGGGCGCCTGGGTGGCTCAGTTGGTCGAGCGACTGCCTTCGGCTCAGGTCATGATCCTGGAGTCCCGGGATCGAGTCCTGCATTGGGCTCCCTGTTCGGCGGGGAGTCTGCTTCTCCCTCTGACCCTCCCCCCCTCTCATGTTCTCTCTCTCTCATTCTCTCTCTCAAATAATCTTTAAAAAAAAAAAAGGTCAGGGCACATCTCTGCATACCAGCGGTCACCACATGGGGGGCCTCCCAAACAGTTTGCTAAAGATGCAGCTTCCTGAGCCCCCACCTCTCAGAAGTTCTGACCTAGCAGTCTGAGAAGGGGGCTGGCCAAGAATGTAAAACATTGCAGGCTCTTCCAGATTATTCTGGGGAGCGGGGGGAGGGGGGTGACCCACCACGTTTTGGACACTGGCTACCCCGGAGCTCTTTCTACTCCATAGGCCTCCTGCCGTCCAGGGATCAAGTCGGGTACGTGAGAGCCCAGGAGAAGAGTGCAGGTGAAGTAGGGCAGGACTCGGGACCAGGTTCTTTCTGGATATTTTGGCAGAGGCAGGGAGCAAGGGAGGAGCACTTGAGCAGGCTCTGCGGGCTGGCTTGGGTTCCCACGGCAGGGAGAGCAGGACGGGCTTGTCTGGCAGCCGCAGGAGTGGCTGGGCTTAAGGGAATGGGCCCAAGATGGGCTTGAGGAAAGGCCAAATATTTGGCTTGCAGCCTAGGGCACAGGAGGAGGGAATGGGACTATTCTGGGGACGGTGTGGAATGCCAGGCTGACGAACTTGGACCTCTTTCTGTGGAAGTGGGGACAGGGATGGTGGCACGATCCCAGGGTGTGACTCAGGAGCCTGGGGTGAGGCCCAGGGGACACTCTTGCTCCAGGCCTGCAGGCTTCCTCCAAGCAGGAAAGCTGCAGCGGCAGGACCCACTCAGGACGCTCGGCAGCAGAGGGGCTGAGGGCCCAAAATAGGGTGGCAGTGAGTGGGAGGAAAGGGATGACAGGGACACGGAGACAAAGCAGCGACTCCCAGCCCCGTTCCCACCACGCAGAAGTCCATCAGCCAGTTATCGGGGAGGGTTAAGCTAACCGCGCCCCCGCTTCCAAACTCCAGGGATGCACCTCCCGGTCCTGGGACTGGCGGCCATCGCCGCCTTCTGGCCGCCTTCCTGACACACGACTCCTGTCCCCCCTCAGCGAGGGACAAAAACCCAAGGGCTGGGTGTATGATGTTTATGACCATAATGAGCTGGCTGAGGCCTTTGCTGGAGGAGACCAAGAACGAGGCTTTAGAGAGCAGAGGGAGGCCTGGTGTGGAAGCCATGGGGCGTCCCCACCGAGGGTAATTACATGGCCGAGGACTTAGTCCTGCAGAGGGACCGCGTGCACGTCCGGGGTAGACACCGCCACGTTGACTAATAGAAGGAAAGCAGAGTATGGCGGCCTCGCTGCTACGGCAGAGGGGCTGGAACAGCTTAACCTGGAATGACCCTGAGCCCGCTTAGGAGGGACTTACGCGCTGCCCCCCTCCTCTGCAGTTCTCCCAAATTGCCCGGAGAGGGAGCTGGAGGCTGCAAAGCGGCTCCTAGGGACAGGCGGGTCAGGTGGCAGAGCGAGGATTAGCATTCCTGAGCCAAATCCGGCTCTGTGCCCTGTGCCGTTTCTGCTCACCCAGACTGGAGGGTGGCTGCCTCTAACACGGGAAAGGACCTGGTAGCGAGCCCAGGGAGGTCTGTGGAAACCGGCCTGGAGGCACAATAGGCAGGGAGGTGGTGGCCGGAGGTGGGGCGGGGGGGGGGGGGGGGGGAAGAGACACCCCCTTCCCCATTAACCCGGCCCAAGACTCAAGGCCCTGAGCACCCCAACGAGCACCCCCCCCCCCCCCGCCGTGAGCTGGTGGAACAGCAAGGAGGATAACTTCGCACTTCCGTTAACCGGGTAACCTTGGACTCCTCCGGTCTGCGGACAGCAAGGGCAGGCCACTCCTTCTGGCATCCCGAGGAGGTGGCGATTCATTAACCCAAACCCAGGGTGGACAAAGGCTGCTGGCCGGCCAGGAGAGAAAGCCCCAGGACCCCACCAGGCCCTGCAAGGGGATGGCCTGGGGCCTCCAGGTGCTTGCCCGAGTTCCCACGCGGTGCTTTCTGGACCTCTCCAGTGGGGACAGGGATGGTGACATGATGTATTCTACCCCCTGGGGCTTCGACTGAGCTCCTCAGTTAACCCACTTTCAGAAGCCACCCCACATCCTCCCCCGGTCTGCCCTCCCAGGCCCGTGGGCTCACTGCCAGGGGCAAACTCCTAAAAGCAGCCAGAGCTGGGGCCAACCAGAAATGTGTTCTTGCGTGCCCTTTCTTTCCTTCTGGATGCTTACTCAGAAAATCCAATAGGGTCACCCAGAACCGGATGCCCCAAGCGGGGCCAGGTGGGTTGTTGAGCTTTGGCTGGTTTGCCCCAGTAGAGCTAATCTGGTTGTGAAATAAATCCCTGAACCAACTAGTGAACAGCTTCTGCCCCCGTCTGCTGGCCCGCTCCCTTGGGACCCCTGGGGCCTCCCCACCAGTGAAAGGGTAACACTTGGTGGCATGGCATCTCCCAAACCGACTAGCCAGTACCAAAGTGCTTTTGGTGGTTAAATATTTTAATACCACCCTGGAGTGGAGGACTCTTCTGTAGAGGAACCGAGGAGCAGGCTGGAGAACAGGTTCCCCGCCCAGCACAGCGCCCCCTGGTGGTTCTGACCGCCCCACAGCCTTGCTTGGGTGGAGGCGGGGCTTGGGGGTGGTTTCCATCAGCTTCACCCACCCCATCTCCTTCTCCAGGGCCAAAGCTAGTAAATGAAGCAGTCTGACACAAAAGGCTTTCCCCAACCTAATAAATGAAAATGAAAGTGTATAACATGGTTCCATGCAGGGTCGAAAATAGCAATATTTTTTAAAAGTCCCACAGAACCCCCAAAATACCCATTTGTATTTGAAGGTAAATGCATAGGAAAAGGTCTTCAAAGAATTCATGCCAGTTAGCTTGGTATTAACTTCGAGAATGAGGAAGGGGGTTGCCTCTAGAGTGTGCAGGTATGGTGCTCTCAGCTTTCTATCCTGTATGCTTTGTGTTATGGGTGAATTGCGTCCCTAAAAATTCCCATGTTGAAGTCTTAACCCCACGT